ACAGTAGTATTGTTTGGGGGCTGAGGTGGGAATAGAAATTGATCGTAAATGGGCACAAGGGATCTTAAAGTGATGGAAAATTAGCAAATTTTACACAACTATAAATTTACTAAAACTCCTGAAATGGGTGAATTTTAAGATATGTACTTTATACATCCACAGAGGTTTTAAATAACAACAACAACAACAACAACAACAACAACAACAACAACACACACACACACATACAACAGACAAAGGCCTTGGTTAATTATCTTTGGTAGTAGGTGTTCTCTGAAGCACATCCTGAAGGGGCTGCAGGTAACCCAGCCACCTCCTTTTAGAAACTATTATTAGGGGTAAGTGAAGAAATGGAGAAGCATGTTGACAGGAGACAGAGGCAAATCCAAAGATATCTTCTCAGACTTTTCTTCAGCCATGGGCATGCTGGTCATGTGCCTGCAGGGAAGTCGTGGACCTTGCGTGGGGTTGTGCCCTGAGCCCCGCCCCCCTTGTCCTGAGGTTGGCTGTGAAGGAAGGGTGTTTCTGAAAGGGGTGCACATTCTGGTCCTTCTACACATTTCAGGATCTGCATGATGTGTAAGCAGATAGTGGTGGATTGCCAAGTGGTGGTCAACTTGTTATACCCAGCTGAACTGAACTCGTGTGGTGCTGGGTTTGGGGGGCTGCCTGAGGACTGCTGCCAGCAGCATAAGAGATGGCACTGGGGAAGCTGTTCGAGCTGTTGGGAGCAGCTAGTCCTCTTGGGCTATCCTGCTGGAGGAGCTTGTCATGCTGGCTTTCGTAATGAACTTGGCTGTTCTTGTCAGAGCAGGAGCTTGAGCTGTCACTGCCACTGAGGATGGCTATGGTTCATTTGTGGGAGCTCTAGTTCTCATCTTTTTTTTTTTTTTTTTTCCTGTATTTAGTACAGGGTCTACAAGGTCTCACTACACAGATTGGCCTCATGGTGAGCCTCCTGTTTTCAGCCTTCCAAGCACTGGGGTTACAGGCATGCACCACCACACCCAGTCTCAGGCCCTGTCTCATTATGCCCTTGGGATCGAACCCTGGTCCCTGCAACTGCCTAAGCAGGCGCTTTGGTCTGCTGAGCTATCTGGCCAGCCCCCGGTCCTCATCTTGAGTGTTGCTTCCTAGCTCCAGTGCAGACCCCTCAGCCTGCTAGGACAGATCCTTCATCCCGCTGGCATAGACTTTCTAGCTTCCATCTCTGACCTTTGGGCCTTCCCAGTGCAGATCCATGAAGTGGACCTGCGTGAGACGTTGTCGTGGGCTCTGGGCCTCCAGCTGGACTTGCGGAGGGCATTGTCATGGGTGCTAGGTCTTCAGCTGGACTCGTGCAGGACACTGCTGTGGGATCCAGGCCCTCAGCTGGACTCTTTGGTCTTTAGTGTGTGGACCGATTTCCTGCACTCTTTCCATATGATTCTTTAGGTGACTATTATAAATAATCTTATAAAATATGTGTCCAGTATTGTATTGTTCTCTTCGCAAAGCCCCAAACTATGACAGAGAGATATCATCCTGACCTTCAAATACAAAGACTTGTTCCACTGGGTCCCATCTCTCCTTAAAGGACAAGATCATTTTTTTCCAAGGGACACACTTTTCAGAGCACCTCCTCCTAAAAAAGGACAGGGAACCCCAGCAAATCTCCTGATATTTAAGTTGGTCTTTTGATTCTGCCTTTGAAAAATACCCTAAAGCTAGTTACCAAACACACAACTATAAGATGGCAAGGAGCCTGTGACAGTCCCCCAGCCCCAACGAGAAAGCGATGCTCTATTTTTTGCCTGGAAAACTGGCAAACTGGCATGAAGAGGATGCACACAGTGTTCCCACATGGCATACTTCGAAAATAATGTGCCCAAGAGTCAGCTCTGGGTGGCCTGGTTTGCTTCCAGGCGGACCTCCAGAGGCCGTGCCGTCCAGGTGGTTGTGTTCTTCCTCCGTTTCACCCTAGCTCCTGTCCTGTGGATGCTTCTTGAGCATATCGGATTGTGTAAAAAGATGTATTCCCTCCTCCTTTTTGACTTCAGTTGCCTAAATGGTGTGCAGAGGGTAACCTGAGGTCTAGCCTCCCGACGGTAGAGAAGAGCATGACGCAGTGCTGTTAACTCCGAGGCACTGTGCCGCCGTGCACCGGGTCTCTGCAGCTCTTTCTCCCACCACCGAAGGTTCATGCTATTCGAAGTAGCTTCCCATTCCTTCCCCCAGCCCTTGGCAGCCGCTGCGCCGCTTCCTGTTTCTGAGTTCAGCTATTTTAGTTCCTTCATGTAAGTGGAATCATGCGGTATTCGTCCTTCCGCCCTTGGCTTATTCCACTTTGCATGATTTCTTTTAGGTCTATCTGTCTTTTCCAAATGGTTAAGAGTCCCCTCTTTTTAATGCGGAACAGTATTTCACTGCATGCACTGACCCCGGTTCCTGCCTCCACTCGTTCAGAGCTGGACGCGTCTGCCATGTCTGTACCTTGACTACTGAGAACTGTGCAGTGATCGAGTGCAGATACCTCTGTAAGGCCTGGATTTCACGTGCTTGACTGCACATGGAGAAGTGAGACTGCTGGATTATGGTAATTATATTTTTAATTTCTTTTGAAAATCTCCCTACTGCTTACCATAGCAGCCATACCATCATGGCCTCCCATTGATAACACTCAAGGGTTCCAATTTCCCCATCGCCTCGGCAATATTTATTAATTAATTAGTTTTTATTAGCGCATGTTAGCTGTGCCTAATGCTGACTTTCCTCCTGTGGAGTTGGTGCTTCCACAGATGACGTCTGTCCAGCTGCCCTCACGCTCTCATTCCTTGGTCTCCTTCATTTGAGGAAGAGCTGTCTGCCTACTTCCTGCGACCTGTCTTTCCTTTCACTCCTTCCTTATGACGTTGGCTCCTCACAGAGGAGAAGCCATGTGCTAGGGAAGCTGTGTGTCTGATTCACTTCACTTAGAATTATGGTCTCAGAGTTCTACCTACAAATAACTCAAGCTCGTCCTTCTCTGCCTTCTCTATTTTGTACATTTTCTTTATGATTCATCTGCTGATGGATGTATAGGCCACTTTCAAGATTTAGCTACTGTGGATTGCACTGCTGTAAACATGGATACATGTGATACGATACCTTTAACTTTTTCAGGGATGGGGTGCTAGCTCAGCGGTCTAAGTGCCTCGTTGGCAAGTGCAAGGTCCCAAGTCCGATCCCTGGTACTTAATGTGGTGCCAGCCCTGGAACCCCAGGCATGCTGTGCCAGCCACTGAAACCGGCGTGGTGCACATGCCTGTAATTCCAGCACTGGGGAGGCTGAAACAGGAGGATCACTATGAGTCTGAACTGCATAGTGAGACCCTGTATCAAACAAACAAACAAACTAACTAACTAACTAACTAACTAACTAACTAACTAACTATTTGCAGGAAGATGCCTAGATTGGGAATAACTAAGATGAGTGGAATTTCTAGTTTTAGTTTTTGAGGCATCTCCAAACTGATTTTTCAAATAGTAGCCATCATACCAGGGGTGAAGGGGCATCTCGTGGTCCTGCTTTGCATTTCCCTGGCGACCGATGTCCACCGTTCTATTTCATGCCTGCCAGTGCCTGGTACCCAATGGATGCTCACTCAGTAGTTGCTGAGCAAATGAAGGAAAAACAACTCCATCTTCTGCATATGACAAACGAGGATGCTGTCTGGATTACGGGGAAGGGAAGGGCGTCCATGACACAGAAGCAGAGGGTCCCCAGGCTGGTGATATTCCTAGCCTCCTTTCCTGGTTAGAAGACTAATAACCATGTCTGGGACCTGGGGACTTGGCACAGGCTCACCACAGTGGGAGGAGATGCATTTTCTAAGAGTGAAGTCGTATTTGTCCCCCTGTCACTTGCTCTTGCACTCCTCCCTTTGTTCTTCCCCTTCAAGTACGCGTAACACACATCAGATCCTCCACATGCTAACCCCAAGGGATCGCCTTAGCTACTTTCCTTACTGCTGAGGCAAAATACCTCACACCCCAGATTTGAAAGCGAGGTTTGGCTCATGGCTTCAGAACCTTCACCCGCGCATGGCTGGCAGGCTCGAGTGCAGACACGGTGGAGGGGACGAGTCTGGGCACAGGAAAGCTGCTTACGTCTTGGCCACCAGGAAGCAGAGGAAGAAAGGAGGTCGGGGAGGGAGCTGCGCCCTGCCAGGCCACGCCCCAGTGACTGCCTCCAAGTCCTGCCTCCTAACTCAGCTGGAGTGCCCTGCATTCCAGCCTGCCACTAAGCAGGGGACACCTTGCAGGTCCAAACCACAACAGAGAGGGCTTGGGGAAGGGGGGGGGGGAATCACCTTGAGAGTATGTGCTGCCAAATAAATACATAGCCCAACTACCTGTCAGAGAAGTGAGACCAAGTGTCTGCAGGCTGAGTGAGGACTGCCATGATAGTTGTGGTGTTAACTTGAATTAAAAGTGTCCAGTTCTGGATGGGTCAAATATTAACGTAGCTCCTTGTCCAGCACCCAGGGCATCCATGGCAAGACGTGAACTCCAGCTTGCTTGGGATTCCTGACCCTACCATATTGCTGGTGGTTATACCCCTCATGGCTTCTTTCTCGAGCTGGCTTGGCTTGCCCCTGTGGCTTTGCTCAGGCAGTCGAGGCTCCTGGCTTCTCCAGCATCCTGCATTCTCCACTGCACCTTCAGCTTCGCTCTCACAGTGCACGCTTAGGGGCAGGCACAGTGCATGCTATCCTGGGCCTTCTTCTGAAGTCCATTAGAAGCCTTCCTCACCCCACAGCTCTTGCATGCTATACTCTTGCACTCTGCAAGTAAAATGAGGGCTGCGTGGATGGCGTCACCTCTGCCTCTGAGTACCCGGATGGCTGGGCATGATGAACTGAATCCTGGGGAATCCTGGACTCCATCTGCCAAAGCAGTCCTATTCACAACTTCAACTTCTGGAGACTTCTTCCACCTCTGAGCCCAGGAGGCTTTAAGGGGGCTCTCCATAAGCCAACTGCAAAGGGGGGCATCATGGCAGAAGGGGCATTGTAGAGGAGAAAGAGCTGATGACTTGGTGCCAAGATGCAGCCAGAGAGATCTAGAGAGGAGGAGGGAGCGAGACCCTTCCAGACCACCCCCCAGGAACCACCTTCTCCAACCAGTTTCACCTCCCAAATCACAGTTAGCTATGGACTCATCAGTGTAGACATATTCACTGACACCTATCTTGCTCCCGTGACCCAAGCAGCTCTTCAGAGTTCCACCTCTGAGCCCAGGAAGCTTTAAGGGGGCTCTCCATAAGCCAACAACCAGTGATAAGTCCAGGATGGGAAGGCTCTTTGCCAGGCTTGGGGTGCTGGGACCATGGTGAGAAGAAGACCTAAGAACACACAGAGGTGGGGGCTGAATGCAGGCATGAGTCTTACATACCCAGCATCTTGAGTAGAGTGAAGATAAGCGAAAGGCGGCATGACAGAGGCAGCTAGCGGTGCTATTTGACCTGTACCTTAGGCTGCTGAGTACTGCTACAAGGACTTGGACACTTATGCAACACCTTGCCACTTCCAGTCCCTCCGGCACTAGGATTTCGCTCCAGCAGCCTCCTTAAAGGCTGGCTTCAAAGCTCCTTTGTACTAGAGGGTGACGATGGCGAGGGAGGGGCAGATCTACTGGGGAAAGGCAGCGAGTGCTGTGAGCCTAACAAGGGAACGGGCTCCCTCTCCTGCCTCCCTCGTGCACAGAAGGCCCGAGGAGACCTGGGTCCGGGAGACAGAGTCGCGGATCTTTCTGCACGTCACAGCTGTGCACCTACCTGAACCACCTGGCTTCCGCCCACTCTGGGGCTTGTCTCTCATCCTGGCTGTAGGATTTTCCATCCTAAATGTCCTTCTTTGAGCCATGGCAGGACCCCAGGGTGGAATGTGGGACAACTTCCTCCTGTCCATTCAGCCTTCTCTGCAGGAGGAGAAAGCCAGGCCGAGAGGCAGCACACTGTACAACTTCTGCCGCCTTTGACCTTACTTGGGAAGCCTGGGCCTCGCCTCCCATCTCATATGGACTGAAATGAAGAAGGCAGCTGGTGGTACGCGGCCAGACCCCTGTGTCCATATCTCAGGAGAACACCATCTCCTCCTCTTTAAAACCAACCTACCTCGAGTCTTTTCATTTTGAGCCTCGGCCAATAGCTGTGAGAACGCGGTCCTCCACCTCTGCTTGCCTTCCCTAGCATTTAATACTTCAAAGTCGTCAAAGCACACAGCTTAATGTTTCAGAAAACATTACTTACTCCTCCCCTCAGGATTTTTTTTTTAATTTAAAGGGAAAATTGTCTAAAGCCTACTTCTACAATCTCAAGCGACCACTAAAATTGATGTTTTGCCCTGCCTACCCATCCATCCAGGGTCATGCATCTAGGACACGTCCTCAGGACATTGTTGTAGGGTTACTGTGTTCTTGAGTATTTAAACGCGCTACCACTTCTCTTCATGTTGGGAAAACTGCAGAAAATATTGCCTTAGACCTAACTTCAGGGAACGTTTGCTGCGGTTCTTTAACAGGTATTTCTACTTTCACAGATAGAGATGTGGTCTTATAACAATCACACTTTTTTTTTTTTTTTTACTTTGGCATAACTCAATTGTAGTAATTGTGAACCCCTAGAGCACACTGTGCTCTATTAATTCTTGTGCTTCTCCCTCCCTCCCTCCCTCCCTCCCTCCCCCCTCTCTTCCCCTTTCCTCCTCTCTCTCTCTCTCTCTCTCTCTCTCTCTCTCTCTCTCTCTGTCCTTCTCTCATCTCCATTCTGTGTATACTTTCATTTCTCTTACCTTGGAGAAAATATTTCTTTCCAATCCTGTTTATATTTTAAAATACGTTTGCTGAAAATTTTATTTTTCACTAATTTTAGACTTTGAAAACTTGTAAATAGGGCCAGGGAGATAGCTCGGTGGACTAAGCTCCTTCTTAGGCAAAGCACAGGGACCAGGGTTCGCTCCCAGGCACCACATGTTGCACTGGACTTCCCCCAGGCAGGCTGAGCCTCGCCACCGAATCCAGGCATGGTGGCGCACGCCTCTAATCCCAGTGCTGGGGAGGCTGCAAACAGGAGGATCACTATGAGTCCGAGCTACATAGTGAGACCCTGTACCAAATACATTGAAAAAAAAAACAAACAAAAAAGCTACAAATAGAGTACTAAATCCCTAAATATGCTTCATTTAGTTTCCCTTATCTTTCTCATTGCTGTGTTGAATACATTTGGGAGAGTCACCTGAAATACTTTTTTTGGAGCACGGCCTACGGCGTGTCACTGATTGGAACACCCTCAGGACAAATGGGCTGGAAATGACAGAGAGACATTTCAGTCAGGGCAGCCTTGGGAAGATGACCCGGAACCTTCAAATGAATCACTCAAGAGTGAGTTGGCAGCAAGTAAACAGGAGCTAAACACGGTAAAGCAAAGAAAGCTGGCCAACCTGAGCGTCATGTTAACATCCCAAGTTAATAGGAATTGACTGAATTTTAAAAATATTGCAGTTAATCACGAGGTTGAGATATGACTTTTTATATAGATCTAAGCATTTTATCCACATCTCACTTTATAGCCATGATAACTCTTAATTTCTTCTGCGACTGATAGGATATTTGTTGAAATTATCCAAAGGGTTAGTAGTGAATGCCTGGCATGTAGTTTGTATTGCAGGTTCTAAAGCTTTTTTTCTTTTTCTTTTTTTTTTTTTTGGTGAAACTGGGTATTGAACTCAGGCCCTTGTGCTTGCCAGGGAAGCGCTTATTCCACTGAGCCATCTTCCCGGCTCCTGAAGCATTATTATGGCATGATCCTATTTATTAGGGGGTCAGATGAGCAGGCATGGACGTCTACACACGTATGTATGTATGTATGTATGTACATTGCACATACTTGGCAGGAAATAATTTAAGTTTTAAAAGGTTCAACTGGATAGGTGACTTATAATCTCATTTTTTGCATATCTAGTTCTACTTTTTATATTGCATGACATTACTTTTATACCAAGCAACAACTACCAAAAAATTAGAGAAAATAAACATTGGAAGAAAATATATGAAAATTCTGTTCCAATAGATTATCTTTTTAATGACTATGTAGATTGTTTTAGCCAATTCAGGAGTAGATTGTGTGAGGCCCTGGGCTCTACCCTCATCAACAGAAAGCCAGAAAGAAGCAACTACCACACTGAAGCAAGAATACCTGAGCTGCACAGCCATCTCCGAGGCTGCCTCCCGATACACATTCTACCTGTATCGTATGCACATATACCAAAGTTGCCCACACTAAAAGGCCCAGTGATTATACTTCTTTCCAGCCCAGTGTCTGGTGGAGTTTGTGAAGCTGAAACATCTCAGCACTTCCAGTCAGGGCTGGTGGTGCTGCTGAGTCACCGAGTGCAGACACGTGGGGCAAATGGGACACTTTCTTCCATCCCAGGTGCCCAGGCCCCTGGGTCCCGGGGCCATCCTGCCTCTGGACTCTTCTGACCACAGAGTGTGGCTGTCCCCAGAGTCTCTCGGGAGTGAGCAGAAGCTCCTTCCATCCAGCACTGTGCTCTGCTGCAGAGCATGTGGCTCCGGGAGAGACACCCCGAAGTAGAATCGGGAACGAGAATAGACCCTTTAGGGCCAGCCAAATAGGTCAGCTGATTAAAGTGCCTGCTTGGGCAGATGCAGGGGCCGGGATGCAATCCCAGGGCCTACCAAGCCTCCCTCCCTCTGGGGTGTGCTGAGACAGTGATTGAGATTGGGTGTGGTGGTGTGTGCCTGTAATCCCAGCTCTTGGGAGGCTGAACCCAGGTGGATCACTACGAACGAGTCTACATGGTAAGACCGAGTAGACCCTTCCCCCTTTAATTACTTTATGTGGTCAGTTAGTGCATTTGTGTGTAATAAGTCCAGGGAGGGCGTGACTCCTACCATGGCTGTAGCTGAGACTCTCTACCTGGTTCTAACCCTAGATCATTGTATTCTCACAAAGATTTTATAAAAATCTGAGCTGACTGTGAAATCCTTCCTAAAGCTCTCTAAGACAAAAATGACAAGGATAATCAAAATATATGATGAGTGACAACATTTTTAAACATTTAGTATTATAAAAATGTTTACTATAAATTCTTTCAAAATATGCCCCTTAATTTTAACACACTTATCCCAGCATTCTTGACACTTTCTGAAGCAGCTCTGGAAGTCCTCTTTCATGAGTGTCTATAAGGCATGAGGCAAAATACAGTGAATGCTGCATCTGTGTGCCTTCTAGGGGAAGCACAGCCTCGGCCAAGCATGCAGTGTCCGGAGCAGGCTGTGCCAGCCCTGTCCCTGGGGTGCGCTGACACAGCAACTGAGCCTGGGCTTGGTGGTGCGGCCTGTGATCCCAGCGCTTGGGAGGCTGAAAACAGGAGGATCACTACGAGTCCAGTCTGTGTAATGAGACCCTGTGGATCCTGTACTAAATACATAAAACAAAACAAAAAGCAACAACAAAAACCCATATAGTGTGTCTTCAGCACTGTGTTCACGAGATTCGGCTCCACCTGGCTTCTGGCTCTTCCTCAAAGTCAAAATGATCATGAAAGGCAAAGCTGTTAGGTTGCTGCAGACCGTGGAGGCAGCTGGCTACAGCTAGAGATGCTTACAAAAGAGGACTTCCAGGATGGCTTCAGAAAGTGGCAAGCATGGCGGAGGGGAGGCAGCTTGGCAGTCCAAGCGCCTGCCTGGCAAGCGCAAGGACCCAGGTTTGATGCCCAGTACTGCATGACATGCTGGCTGGGGAGGCTGAGACAGGTGCTTCACTATGAGTCTCAGTGAGACCCTGAACCAAATAAACTATTTTTTTTTTAAATTTTATTTATTTATTTGAGAGAGAGAGAGAGAGAGAGAGAGAGAGAGAGAGAGAGAGAGAGACCAGCTCAGCCCACCAGGGGGCAGGGCTGGCTGGCATATGGTGCCGGGGGATTGAACCGCGGTCCCTGATGCTTTTTGCTAAGCTTGCTCTAAGTAGGTGCTTTAGACCACTGAGCCATCTCTCCGGCCCCCAAACTATTTTTTTTTTTTAAAGTAGCAAAAATGGAATAAATGTGTTTGAAGTGAAGAGTATTTGGGAGAGATTAATGTCAATGTTTCTTTTTATTGTAAAGCAAGTTTGAAATTTAAATGTTCGTATTTTTAAAAAAAATCTCACCTTACATTACTGCTGGAACATTACTGTCCCTAGATTCCCCTTGAGGATCTGGGGAGATAGCTCAGTAGAATAAGCACTCTCCTGGCAAGCACAAGGTCCCGAGTTCAATTCCCAGTACCAGAAAAGAAACCCAAAAAACCCAGATTCCTTGGTTATCCCAAAAACCTTAATGATAGCTGTTTGAAGGGCATCCTGCTCCCTGAGAAGCCAGTGCCCCGCACATCCCTCTCTCTCAACGGATCCTCCGTGCAAACCTTTCCTCGCGGTGAACTATGTGGTCCTCAGTCATTCAAGTGCTGTAACACTGACATAGAATCAATGCCAAGCGCTGTCTCCACTTCTTCCTATGCATTTATGCCAGTGTAATTTTCAATAAGTGTCCCTGGTTACCAGTTGATTTTGTCTTGAAACAATATTTCATTTTCTAAGAGGGATCTGTTCCAAATATGAACTAATTATAGGCACAGATTCAAATTTAGAAAACTTATTTTTAGAAAATCAAAAGCAGGGCCAGGGATATAGCATAGTAGCTTAAGCGCCTGCCTGGCAAGTGCAAAGTTCCAAGTTTGATCCTGGTATGGAAAAAAAAAAAAAATCAAAAGCAGATAAGTCCGGTTTTAGCACACACCGCTGTTTCCTCCCCAGTGTCCGCCTTCCTCTTCATCTGTCTGAGTGTTCAAAGTGGCCTTGGACGAAAGAGTCCAAGCCCATTACAGCATGTTTGCACCCGCAGCGAGTGTCTGCGTCAGGAAGGGGTAATTGTGGCCCTGTGGGGAAGTCAGGTGGGGCGCCTCTGGAAAGCGCTTCCGTCTCCCCAAAGCGAGACACAGTGGTTGATACTATCTGTCGTTCCTTGGAAGCGTTTCTGGAGCCACAGCAGCCACGATGGCACCAGCTGGAGAATGAAGCAACTCAGAAGGCCGCTGCTGGAATCACCCAGAGGTACAGCAAAGCCCAAGGTCCCCTGCCTTGGCAGCCCCGAGAGACAATGAAGGCCTCTGTGAGCCCTTCACGAGGCAAGAGTTCCAGCTATTTGAATCCCAAGGCATTCACGCTCGTCTCCAAGTGTGCCCTCAAGTCTACTCACTTGGCTCATAAAACACTGCGTCAGGCGCCGAGTTCCCGTCCACAAGTTGGCTAAGTCCTCCATTCTAGGAAACAGGTTTGTCTGCTTTCCTAGTTCATGGAAGACAGAAACAGCAAGTGAGAGGTGGAGGAGAGGAGGACAGCTGGCCAGAGAAGGAGGGACACGCAGGTGGAAACGAGCGCCCGCAGCGCGGCCTTCGAGGGCCACAGGACGTCCAGGCGGGCTGTTCCTCCCCTCTGTGGCCCCGGTATGCGTCAGCTGCAGGCCATGACTAAGCCAGAAGGAAGCCCGTGGCAGCAACAGTGGCTGGATTTCTTTCTGTTTTAGGAGGGGGAAGAGGGTGAATAATGTTTAATCATATGAATTTGTAAACAAAGAAAAGGTTAAATGTTTAAAAGCATAATCTTAGCTGAAAATTCCCACAGAGAACAAGCTCGCTGGCTAAGCTCAACAAATGAATGTAACACACACACACACACACACACACACACACACACACACACAGATGTGTACACGTAAAACCTGCTGCAAAGTTTCATCTGGACAAAAGGAGACAAAGCAAAACGGGCAGCAGTCTGACTATTAGGGAGAGCACCTCATGTCAGGGCACGCGCCAGAAGCCAGCTGGCCACTGAAGTGGCCACTGAAGCCACAGCTTTGATCTTCAGCAAGCGACTTGACTCGACCCCAGTGGCTTGCCAGCTGCCAAAGCTGCTCCCTCGGAAGCCCGCCAGCGGGAAATAAATAAGCTGCTTGACTTCTCCTGGTAGACGTGGTGGAGCACTCCTCATTAAAGGGAAGTAATTCTTAGGGCTTGCAGACAAAATGACTGGGAAGCTCACAGACACTAAAATTGCATCACACAAAACAGGTCCTGGGGCCCTGCACCCACGTGGAGTCCACCAGATGATGTCACTGCAGCAGAAATCGCTGCAACCCAGTGTTTCCCAGCCACATGTGGGAAAGCAGGCCGCTGGTCTACTCTCGTGCTGATGACACGAGGCTCTACAATTACGGGGTGGCCGTGGCTCGTTCTCTGAGGATGGGGCATGATCAACAGAAAACCGGGGTGAGGGGGTGAACACAGGGCTTCGCTGCAGTCCTCGGGCACCTTGTAACCCGCAGACAGGTCTCTGCACTCCCGGGGTCCTGTCCAGGCTCAGGGGCAGAAGAGGCGCACAGCCTGGGCCCAACTGTCTTGCTCTGCTTTTAATACAGAAAGTGAAATAATACGCAAAGCAAGGTAGTGCAAAGGCAGACTGTTGTGCCTTTTCTGATTGCTAACACATTTGTGTGTATCTTACGCCTAACTATGAAATGAATGGTAAGTGATACATTAACCCGAGTGTTATTTAAAGAAAACCAATAAACAAATAAATCTACCAAGACTGAAACTTCAGTCTGTTTAGATTAGTGATTTTTAATGGCCTTTTTTTCTTATACAAGAATATTGCTGGCTCAACCCTGGAGCTTGCAGTCACTACCTGTCCTGCTTGGATTCCTGGAGCCCTGTCCCTGTCACCTGAGTCTGCATGTGACCAAGATAAGCAAGGCCTATAAAACAAGAAATGTAACTTTTGAAAACTCCCAGGCCTGACATGTGAGTGAGATGACCCAGGGCCCACTGGATCCTGAATTGACCCAGAGCACAGGACTGGTGTATGAATGAGACCATCTGGGGCCCACTGGATCCTCATTTGACCCAGAGTGCAGGCCT